GGACTCCGCCTCGTGGCGGCCCGGGGGGGAGGGAGGGCAGGGAGCGGAGAGCCCAACAGGGGGTCGTGTGGGAGAGGGGGTCCCGTGAAGCCCCCATGCGGGCAGCGGGAACGGGAGGCCAGCGCAGGCCCCGCGGAGATGGCAGGCCTGTGGCTTTGCCTTGAGGCCCGTCGCCCCGCGGCGCTGTGGGGAGGAGCGGGTAGTGACCTGGATGTGAGCGCGGCAGGGACGCTGAGCCTGCGGCCTGGGCTCGGTTTTGATGGGGTGAGAGCTCGAGGGAGCCTGGTGAGAAGCGGGGAGCAGCCCGCACGGCGGGGTCTCGTCTAGAAGTCATTTTCCCACGAGAAATGCTCCTGGAAGATGACGAGTGGTGTGTGGCAGCTGCAGAGATTAGCTTTAGGTTTCTCTTTTTTTTTTCCTTTTTATTCTGCACTAGGCTTTTAGGAAGGTAGTTTTCACCGGTAAATGGGAAGTGTTGCGTGCACAGAGTGTAAGTGCTGTGCTAGGGTTAAGGGTCGCCTGCTCCTCAGCAAGTTGATGCTCGGAAGCAGATGCCTGGCTGGGGAGAGCCCTTTCGTTGGGGGGAAGGTGGAGATTGTCCCCTGCAGAATCGTTTCTTGGTAAATGAGGTGACGGCCTTACCGGTATCATGTGCTCTGGGTAGTAGTTAGCTTTCTAAGTGTTACAGTTAAAGGCCCCATGTTGACAGAGCAGTATGATAGCTCACTTGGGCTTCCATGTGCCTGCGTGTGATGAAAACTATGTTGGTAGGGACATCTGAGAGGGTGATGAATACCAACATATCTGAGCTGGGCATGGAATAGCGTGCGTCTGGCATGGCTGAAACACCACGCGGTCCTTTCTGGGCAGCCAAACGGAGGTAATGGCTGCAGGACTGACCTGGTGCTTATACACTAGTATACACTAGAACTGACTAGTATACGGTAGAATTGAAGCTGTAGAAAACTAAGAATTTTAGTGGTTCTGTCCTGCTTGAAAATATGGGCTAGCAATTATTTTTGTGGCCTTGTCTCTCAAAAGAGCTGAAGTGTAGATTGCTTCAGGGAGAGCTTTGCTGTAAGGCTCAGAGCATTGTTTTGAGTTTTACTTGCATTTTTCAAAAGAGAATGTGTGGCGGTAACATCTTCATTCTTAGAAGAAGAAAAACTAATGGATACTCATTTGTTTTCAGTTTAAGATGCACCAACTACACTCTTCCCTCTTATGGCTCCGAAACAGGTAAGTGCTGCTTCTGAAATATGGAGTTTAAATTGAGAATTAGTGTATAGGTACACTTAGAGCAACTAGCCTGGAGAGCTCTTGTAGCTCAGGAAATGATAGGACCAGCGTTTGTAATCCAGCAATTGCTTGTCGTGTCTCCTCAAGCAGTCCTCATTCTTCTACCAGGAAGAGTCAGGTCTGTCTTTGTACTGGAAAGCGGATGTGAGGCCCCTGTTGTTTCTGAGCCACTAATCATGCTATAACCAGACTACGATAGTACTGTAGATGCCTTTTTTCCTTCATTACTGCTGTTTCACTCTCTGTAACAATAGTTAGTTTGTTGTTTGGAGATAAGTGCCTGATGAATGTTTCAAAAAGAACCTGTAACTATCAGGACTGATAACTAAACCGGAGCCTATGATGGTTTCAGTATAAGAGTAGTGGACAGAAGTGATTTCTGAAAACTCGGTGCTGAGGCTTTTTTCTGTGCTTAGTGTCAGTGCCAGAGGTATTTCCCTTAGTTCTACAAGTGTCTGAAACTGTTGTATCTATTCCAGACCTGTCACCGAATATGGAGACTTGATGCTACTTCACAAGGTAAAAAATACTTCTAGAAAATTCAGTGTAAAAAGTGCTTAGTGTCTGTCTAAACAGCATCTTTTGTTCTAATAACATCAGTAGGCAGACTTTATTCCCTGAGCTAAGTTTTCCCTCTGGTGCCACAATGATGACAGTTATTTGCTACTCTTGACCCAAGAGAATGATGAGCACTTTTACCACCATAACTTCCCTCTGAGGCACAACAACTTAGAATTCCCCTTGATGTTTTGACTTCTGAATATACTGTTCATAAGCTGTTTTTCCTTCCAGGATTTGAATTGTACACTTGGAAAGACTTGCAGAAGAAACATCACCCGGTGAGAACTGTGTAGTCTGTGTAGGGGTTTCTTCCATGGAGCTGCTGAAACACTGCAGTGGAAAGGGTGGGATGTGTAAAATGGGAGGTAATTACTTTGGGATTAATTTCCACTCATATGCAGAAACAATTGATCCTTGCTAGTATTCAAAAACTCCTGAATATTTCTTGGTGTTCTGTTTGGAGAACTTAAATTTTTCAAAGCTGTCACAAAAGGCAATTGTTTGGTACTATTATTCCAGAGCAGATACAGTGATGATGGCATAGTTCAGCAGAATATCCTGTGAAGAATAATTTTGTCTTTCGCTCCTATCTGATGTATCTAGCTCTTGTGATCTCTTGCTAGGAGGTGTAGGCTTGGCCATGAAGGCTAAGGGAATCTGATTTTTTTTCTTTTGTTGCAGGCACTGGAGATGAAGCTATAAGCGTGCAAGGTAAATATAGTTTTGCCTGCATCTGTAAAAACTAAGTTATATCCCTGACGTGTGAAAAGGCTGTGTGTGATGATAGCATAGTTCAGCAGATAACCCGTGGTGATCACGCTGTTACTGTCTTTCGCTCCTATCTGATGCAGCCTCCTGTACCTTAGGCTAAGTTTGACAGACAATTCCTGTGGAAAATGTTTTGAAAATTTGTCTCAGAAGGTTAGTAAATGGGCTAAACATTAAAAATTTAGTAGGATAGAGTAGGCTGTGCTTGCGAAATTAAACACAAATACAGCAGAATAAATTTGCTATTTCAGTAACACAAAATCTTGATTGATCTGGCGTTAGTGCTCCAAGTTCTGTAAGTGTTCTGTTGCTTTGCAGACTGCCCTAGACAGAGGATACCTGTGCCTCCAGTGTGAGAAGCTATTTCCTCTGTTACTGATGCTGGTGAAGACAAGGCCTTCTTAATTGAAGGTAATTGAAAAACATTTTTTAGATGGATGCTGCATTTGAGCTTGGGAGTTTGGTTTTGGAGATAAGAGGGTCTGCAAATCCACTTTGTTTCTGGAGAATCTGAAGCAAAGATACTAGTACCCTAACTGTGCCTTCAGATCCCCTAAGCTTTGCAATAAAAGCATTAAGTAATTGTTTTGCATTGTCAAAGATTTCTAGGATGTGCCTGTTGAGACTAAATGCCTTGAATCATGAACATGGCAGTACTATGAATTTAGTATCTGCAATGCTTTTCCCAGTTTAGGCCAACTTACATGTTTACACAAAGTTCATGTCACTGAACTCTGCAATTTAGAGGTTTGCTCCTTTCTGCAGTTCCAGCAGTCTCTGGAGTTGAGGAATTATGATCTCAAGGGTGTTGGGCAGAGTGCTGGGAGATGGCTTTAGGGCTCTTTTGTGAAAGGGGATGGGGGTGTTGCAGTCTGCTGCTGTAGATGATGTTGAATCAGGTCTCTGATCCCAATGAGGACAAAACTTGACTAAACGCTGATACAGTATTTCACCGAAACTGCTCTTACACTAAAACTTTCTGCTAGACCCTATCTAATAGCAACTTTTCCTTTGCAGGCTTCCAATGTGTTTCTCATTGTGATGTAAGTACCAACTGTGCAAGTATTGGCATAAACAAAAATGCCTAGAAATGAAGTATTTAACGGCATGTAAGCTGGGAGGGAGGTGCAAGAGGCCAATGTTGGCTGCTGCTTGCATCTTGTCCAAAAGAGAAGGATGCTTAAGGGGAGAACTGCTGGATGAGGCCCAGCCTTGACAGGCTGGTCTGTGCTAAACTCTTCACTGTGTGCCTGTGAGCTCCTGAAGTTGCTCTGATAGCACTATTTGTGTATTTGCCCTCTTGTCCATAGCAACCTTAGCCTAAAGCAGATAGCTGTCCAGTGACTGACAATGTGAGCTGCCTGTGTGATGAGATGTGACTACCTTGACTTCAATCATGGAGGTCTGCAATTAGCTCTATCTGACTTCAGGCACCTGACTAGATTTCGTACTTGTGCGCTTGCTTGTGCGCTGTCCTGATGCGTTGCTTTGTTCCAGGGCTGGTGCGGTGGAGCTGTGAAGTGATCCAGTTGGTGGTGCTACCAGCAAAAGTAAGTTGCCAGCAAATGCATATGACTAGTCAGAACTGTGTGATAGGTGATGGGGAAGTTACTAGATGCTGGCCTCTAATTGCGGTGTAGCTGCAGCCTTAAGAAGGTTCCTTGAGGATTTTCTTAGCTCTACCAATAGATCACAGGTTACCAGCAGCCTGCAGGGTTCACTTACCCAAGGTGCTAGGTACTGAATCTCATTCTTTGTGACCAAAGACAGTGATAAGATACAGTGATGATTGTAACAGTAATGGACAAAGGAGTTTCTGGAAGTCATAATGAGGCTCTAGAGTAACATCAGAATTGGACTGATTTCATTCTTATGTGTGTATCCTAGATTTGAGAATTTGAGAACTGCTGGATACTTTGTGACAGAAAGCTCTTTCTTGGTAAGCTGCTTGCTTCTCAGTTGCCATAAGATTTTTTTTAACTACTTGAAAATGTTAACTGGTTTCCGTAATGGAAGAGAACTAGTATGGACCAGTTGAACTATGTAACTGCCATGGACTACTTGAGTTTCTAGTTGATAAGAATGTGTGGTAACCTGGCAGCGCAGGGCTTGTGCTAACCAAAGCCAGTACAATTAATTACTATGTTAACTTTTTGCTGGTTAAATTAAGTAGTGGGCTCTTGCAAGGAGTAGCACTGATCTTCAGTAGTTGAAGTAATGTGGTAAATTATTTGTCTCAATGGCTAGATCAGAGCTTTTACGTGATGTGAATGGAGATGTTGTGGGGGATAAGGTCTGACATGCTGAGGTCAGGTCCTCCTCTAAGGAGAAACAAAAGTAACAAAACATTAAGCTTCTCTAAGCATGTACTGTTTGTGATGATTAATTCTAAGCAATGGGAATCTCTCTGAAAGAGGCTGAGGAGGACTCTTGCGCTGAAACAGTACCCACATTCAAACTAACTCTTGAAGCACTGCCAAGGAGAGTGTGTTAATAAAATTTCATGTGTTACAGAATGAAGCTTGTGGGGAGTTTGTGTGAGGAACAAGATTAACTTACATCTGAGGTAAGTGTAGAGTACATGGGGTTTGATAACTACTGGAATATTGTCTTTGTGCTAAATGCCTAGGTAGTGGTGCCTAAAATAAGGCCTATAACAGATCTGATTTATCTTCCTGTATTGTATTCTGATTCTCCTGCTCTCAGCTACTGTGGGAATAAACATGATGTGCTTGAAGCAAGAATGCACTTCTATGTAGTTCTGAGTTTGACTTGAAAAGCAAGGGCTCTTTCTGAGCCGATACCCTGACAATTCCAGAACTGTAGTCAGTGGTAAACTTTATGTAGAGTTCTGTTTGTATGAACAGAAGATGTGGCCTCAATGACTGAAAACTGGGGTTTTATTGCTGGATGTCTTCACGCAATGGAAATAGTAAAGGAGCTGAATCAGTGGAGACCGCTTGGCCAATACAGTGTTGATAATGTACAGCAGAATACATGGCAGCAAACAAAACTCCTATCATAACTCTGACGTATCTGGCTATTTTGTGAACTGACTATAATGCTGCACTCTTGAATTAAAAAGAAAACACCACCAACCCTATATGCCATGGTTGTCACTACTCAGTAATTTTTGCTAATCTTGGTTATGCTGGCTGTACACAAAGGATGGATCAAGTTCTAGATGATTGCTGTACAAATTTGTTTCCTCCAACAGACTGGTTCTCACTTTAAGGATAGGTTTTCAAGATGTTTTCAATGGGACTTGCATTTTAGGTATTAAAACTCATTGAATACAACTTTCTGTTGGGGAGAGACAGATTCTTCCAATGTTAGTAATTCTGTATTTCCAATTCAGTTGGTATTTGTAAGCTTTGTATATCCTATTTGGGTGTTGCAAGTTGAAGTTCTTGTCAGTTGCCAGCTGAAATGCAGCCTCCTTGTAGGTAAAATTAGTTTGGTGAATAGAATTTCATAGATAAATAAACTTGCATATAGTGATGTCTGTTATTCTGAAACAACTTCTCTCCTTTCTCAGGAAGGGACTGTGCTGTCTGCAACCTCATTGGGTAAGACCACACAGCAGATGAATTCTGCTTAAAAACTTCTGGGAATATTTGTAGCCACTGATGAAACTTGATTCTGCCAAATGAATTACTGTGATATTACAATTTCCGTTCCACTTTTCTCTGAGGTTACAAAGCTGCTGTGGAGCTTCTAGCAGTTGTGCTACTGTGTATGTTAATTGTGTTTTCTTGCTTTTAGGTGAGGAGGCAACTTTGAAACTACTGTATGAAGAACTGAGAAGGTGAGTGTAACTGTAGTAATAATGAAATTTATTTGCTGGAACAAATGATGATAACCTTAGCCTGAACTCTCTCTCTGAACAGAGATGAAAATCTAAGGTCTGAGTTGTTCCCAGCAAGCTTCTTGTGCTGGTTTGGTGCCTTATAATGGTTCTTATGTCTGTCTTAATAGGTGGAAGATTGCAGAATAATGGGTTACACTTGCATGAACAGCATTAAAAGAGCCAAGCTTTTTTAACAACACTGGTAACGTTTGCCTGATACTGACTGGAACCAATAAAAATTTGTAAATTCTACCTGTTGTTGTGAATTGCTTTCTGACTTGAAGAGCTTGCTGTAAAACAGATCTAGGCTACTTTAGAAAAGTTTCAAACGCTTGATTTAGAGCAGGAACTAAACTAGTTTAAATGCTAGTCCTGTGAGTGTCTTAGCTTAGGTGTCAGATATTGCTAGTGTGCAGACTGCAGTTGACCTGACCAATACCAGGATCTAGACAAAGCTAAATAATTCAAGTAGTAATTAGTGTTTTGTAGGTGAGAGCTAAAGACTACTACTTGTGTATTTGCTCCTAAAATTACAGGCCACTAGTAAGTCTGGTATTAATGTTCAGGTACAGATGATGTGCACAGAATAAGCATACAGCTTGACACTGCTAACCCTTTTCCACTGGACTCTTAGTCTAATCTGGTCACTGGCATTAGTCTGGAGCAAGACAGCATCCAGCCTCCATGAGGAGAAAAAACAGTTGAGTGGAGAGGTGGGGGATTATATAATAATACTACTTAAAAAAAGTTACTGCTTATGAGGCACTAGGGCCTGCTAAGGTACTGCTGCTTCCCAAAAGTCATTAATGGTAGGTTTCTTTGAAAAATTCATTTCACTTCCCCATCTTTCTGTTGTCTCAGGAGTGATCTCAATATGGGAAAAGTCAGCTGTATGGAGAACTCATTCTCCATAACACTTGCTGTAGCACTTCTAATGAGAAGTAAAACTAGACATCCAAACTGTTCTGCAGGAATATTTTCAGATTATTAGTGTTCCCTAGAACCTTTCAATCTCCCTCCCACTCTAGAAGGTACAATCTACTTGAATTTAAATTACATCTTGTAGAAAGAGTTGAAATGTTTTTAGCCAGAATAGAAAATTAGATGTGATTCTGTGTCCATGTGCAAATTAAATCTCTTCTGCACTAAAGCAAAAGCTGTTAGTAAGCTCTGTTTTCATCCAGAGCTGATGAGTAGACTCTTAATATTCCCCTCCCACCATATTACTTTTTAAAATACCATACTTCGTTGTGCCTGTTAAAGAGCTTGAAGGGACTGTCATAGCCTGCAGTATAGAAGAAGTCTTCATGAAATGGTTGGCCTCTGTTTCTTAAGGTTCTGGCCAAGACTTCAGCTTCCTCAGCATATTTCTCTGGGGAGGCAAATCCGCCAAAGGATCTAGAGGTGAAAAGGGAGGAGTTTTTTGTTCAGAGTTCAAGCCCCTGCTTTTTATTTTCACAGGAGGAAACGTTAGGCTTGCAAAGTGTGCAGTTTTTGAGCACTTCAGATGCAGTTATTAGGTAAAGTATGCAGAACTAGCTGTTGGAGTGTATGGCTATGTATACTACTTTAAAAGGATTTAAAAAAAAAATAATTGCAAGTTGCTTGCAATTCTGAGAGCATTAGCTGACACAGATTGTTGCCTGTGGCTTTAATACATGGCAGAGAGGGCAAGTGTAGCTTTAGGTGCTTTTCTTGTAATAAAGAACTGCCAATGCAGGTTTTGTGGGAGTTTAGGACTACAAATAAAGGGGGTTGGAAGAGTGATTTTAGGTGTTCTCTAGGAGGATCCTGTAGGCTGCATTTCTACAAAACCCACTCGATGCAATACTCGAGTGCTGAAAAATCAACGTTTCAAAACTTGGCCATTTCTCTTTGTTCTTGGTAAGACACCCAAGCATAAGAAAGATTGTCTGACAGAAATTGAGCATTTGGAAATCAAGGCTCTGAACAGCAGGATATATCCACAGTTTAAAAAAAATTGGCTTTAAGAAACGAGTAGTCCAAACTCTTAATAGATGAACCCCTTTCAGTAGCTACCTTCATTCATCAGCTGTGCTGGTGCTGCTTACCGGACAAAGATGGCTGCTGCCTTCCACTCTTCAATAAACACATCCAAGTCAGTGGGCTGTGGTGGAGAGTCTTGATGTTCAAACGGCACAAAGAAAGAGACCTTGAAGTCTGTGCAGCCAGATTTTATCAGGCATGTCACTGGCACAGTCATGTCAATTTTCATCTCTAGAGGAGAGGGGGGGGAAAAAGTGTCTTCTAAGCCGCAAGCAAAGGCAGTGCCTGAATGCTGCTGTAAAGGGTCATGCAGATGTATCCTAAAAGCAGAAACCAAAGTGGCCTAATGGAGTCACAATGGTGCTGGACCAGGAAAGTGAAGCTGCTTTGTCTTGCAGCTCATCTACTGTCTTACAGTATTCAGCTTCATCTGCCATTTGTGCTTCTTGCAGTTCAAAATTAGCACATCGTACCTTTCTCATTCTTCCCTTGGATGTAGTGGAAGAGTTTCCAGAAGCCCTGGCGCATTGCCTCCTTCTGTGTCTCTCCCCTAATGACTGTGCTGACCCACTTCGCTGTCTCATACTGGCGCAGTTCATAATCCTTTGCCTGAAAGGTAGCAAAAGTCATAGTAACCGTGAGATGAATACTACAGATGACATCAATTAACAGCTACTCTTTCAAAATCAGCATGAGAGTATTGTTGCAATCAGATAACACTGGGCAGCTTCTTAGCTGCAGACTCAAGGCATACCCCCAACATGAAATGATTTGATGCCTCCCTTGCAAAGCCATGCAGTTCTGGCTTAGGCTGAGCTCCTCGGAGCTTATAAATAGGTGTTCCTCTTCCCCTTTGCAATTTGGCGTTAACAGTGACCATAGTAACACTTCCCAGCTCCTCCACACTCATCAGACTGAGAATCCCAAATCCACCTTAGCCCTGCAGCACCCTGGCTGCAGAGAGTTCTGTTCCCCTGGCCTTTAGCGGTTACCATCGTCTCTGCTGAGTTCCACCGAGGAGACTGCAGGTCCAGGGACAGAAACGTTTGCTTGAAGGATTTGATCATCTTGCCAGAGCTGAAAGGCAGACACAGTTCATTGGCCTCTCCCCAGTCAGTGCAGTGTACACGGGGAAGAAGAAAGCACTAGGGCTTTTCTGCCTAACGTCAAAGAACTTTTCCTCAGCCTCTGGTCTCCAACCTTTCAGTAACGCTACACTGAGGAGTGACTGGAAAAGTTCAGGCAAGAGACTGGTGCTTTCTAAAAGGCAGTTGTCCCTGAAATTGTGAAAGGCCTGGATTCCACTGCTTATCCCCAATGATTATACAACGAGGGCTGGAATCCTTTAAGCCCTGGAAGGAACCAACAGAGAACCAAGTCCAAGAAGCTACCTCTAGGCTGGTGTGGGAGTGGTCATCTTCCAGGATAAGCTGCCTTCGCTTCTCCATGAAGTGAAGGCACTTCCTGGCTGCAAAACAGAAGGTTGAGATTCTGTAAGTGGCAGTTGTGTGGAAATCCATAGGTAAAAAGGACTCGAGGAGTTCAGCCAATTTGCTCCTGGATGAAGGTATTGGTGTTGATAGGTATTCTGTTATTGACTGTGCCCATAACTTCATTGGGCCTCATGATAGCTGATGCCTTTCTTAAAGGCCTTTAGCCCCAGAGTCCTGTGGATAGATGAGATTTTCTGTATTTACGAGTATGTAGCTACTCTGCTAGGTAGCCTTCATACGGAAGGAAAAAGCTGAAAACATGAAAACACTCAACTTCCTCTCACTGTCCCAAAATAAAGCAAGTGAAAATAATCAAAATCACTAGTGAAATAATCACATCTGGTTAAAAGTCTTGAGATTTTAGGAGCCACCTTTTATGATTTGTGTCTATACCAGGCAGATTGTAGTGCATAACCTACATCCCAAGAAAGCCTCTGCTTTCTATTACATTACGATGTTCTTTGCACTTCAGATTGCAAAGACAACACGTAGTTAATTCAGCAATTATCTTGATTCTTAGATCATAGTACCTTGTCTTCTTAGAGTATAACTTAATTGCATGTTTCTTGGGTAACAGAACAAACCTTGAGGTTATTTTTCATTTCTCTGCCTCCTCAACTGTTCATAGCTGCCCACACAACAAGAAGCCACTGCTCTGTCAATTGTGGCTCTACTTTTTTCATGGGCTTTTAGTATTAAAGGTGCACTGATGCAATTCAGAGCATGTCCCACCGCCAGTGGTAAAGTCTTTAAGGTATGCCATCTTTAACATGACATTTGTGAATGGCTATTTTTGTACTGTGGCTACTTTTGTAAAATCAAGAACTGCCGTGTGCTACCTGACTACCTTCGTATCTGTTTCCATTTTCTTAAGACACGTAGATTACTGTTGAATACTATTAATCCCCTTCTGTACCCTGGTTTAGAGGTGGCTACACGGAGTTTTCTCTTTGGGATCTATGAGGTTGAAAAGCTTTTATAAAAAAAAAACCACACACCGAAAAACACCCAACCCCCCCCTGCTGGCACTGGTTTCACTTACAATCATTAAAATAAGTAGTGCACAGAGCACTCACGTGTTGAGCTTTTCCTAGCAGCTCCTTCAGTTGTCACCCTAGAGCAAGGGAAGATCAGAGAGCCACACAGCAAGAGACTGATGCCAGCAGTTAAAAGCAGGCACTGTCCCCTTCCCTGTCCCAGCCTGAAGATAGATCTTCAGCAGTCTTTACCAGAATGACTGGTCACCAGGGACTGCTGCACAGTCCCAAGCTGGACAGTTGTACTCTAATACACTTTTTGTCAATAGTATTTACAAATCATCAAAGCATAACGATAAAGCAGGAATCCGATCATTTTATTGGAAGCAAATGTGAGCAATTATACTGAAACTTCCTACAGTAATTTATTTTATCCATTGCCATTTCAAAGGCAAAGATGATGCTGCTTTGCTGTCACTTCACTTGCTATTTCTCCTTGCTACAACTTGATAGAAAACACATTTCTCCTCTTCATGTGCTCCCTGGGTATGTTAGAAAGCAGAGAAGTAAATGTTCCTCCGTTTCAACACATGCTGTTGTAGTAGCTGCTGTACGAGCTGGCTTGTCTCTGTACTTGCCAATTCCAACCCCTCCCCGACACATTTTTTCTTAACTGCTGGTTAGATCTCTCACAGCTCTGTCTTCTATAACTTTGTGGCCAGCACTGTTGGTGACTGCATGTACAAAATATTTTTGAATTACATAAAACAATGCT